TGCGGGATAAGAGACGACGGCGGATAGAGCTTATGCGACGCCGGCATATGCTATGGTTTTGATGGTTACTGCAGTCAAGAGGCTTGCCAGCCAACCGGGCAACTGTCAGTACTATTGTCCCACAGATCAAACACAAAAAGTGATGGAGTTGTAGGTGCTGACAGACGTTGTGTCATAAACCAGTTGGTCCCAATAACTCGAGTTGTTGGGAAGGTTATGCTAGATCTTATACAGGTTTGTGTATAGTGGCGGACCCAGGAATTTTATATAGGGGTGTCCTCCTTCAAAAAATAAATTAAAATAATTAAATAATTCTTAATTAAGAAAATACCCAACTCGTACAAGTTAAAAAAAAATCATGGTGTATTTTGAAAAGTTGTCTACACTGCTCAACAAAGTTGTCTCGGTATATCCTACTAGACAACCATTCACGAACTAACGCATATTCGACTTCTAAATTTGTTCTTGATAAAACTCAAAGCTGAAAATACACTTTCAATACTTGTCGTACAATCATAAAATCAATACAAATTAAGGGTAGCTTGTAATTAGATTAATTGTTAGGTTTTGAAAATAATTAAAGATAGATAATAGAGTTTTGCTATTACACAGTGTTTAGAATAGAACAACGAAAAAGTTGTAGTCTAATGAAAAATATATTTATTACTAGTAGTAGTGTCCCGGGTTTGAATTGTCCAAACTACCACTTATATTCTCATACACAAACTACAAACGAGAATAGGATAATGGTTTTTTTCAAATTTTACGGTTTCCCGAACTATTACTTATAATTTTTTGTCCATACATAAATTACTGTCGAGAGTTGGATAATCGTTTTTTCAAAATTTAGGGGTGTCCCGGGACACCCCCAAACCCTCCTGGGTCCGCCCCTGCGTGTATGGTACTTAACCACTTCTTTACATGTTGGAGCTGGAGGAGTCGATACTCAATTCAAGGTGTGATTCGTTCACACGCCTGCAATCGAGGGGCTTGAACTAGACCAGGATACTTTCCGCAAACTCAATATGAACGGTCGAGGAAGTTATTACAATCATTTTGCGGTGAAGTATCACTTCGAGAGTTGTTGAAAAGTACTCATCATATATAAGAAAGAGAAGGAATTTGGCGCGTGACATTTTCTCTGAATATGAATCGTTGGTTTCGATGTAAGGGATATTACGATTTACTATACTATCAATCGGAGATACTAATTAACTCTGAAAATAAGAAATGAAGGACAAGTAGTAGAGGATGTTTTTTCTTTCTTCTTACAAGATGCATTATTGGTGAATACTCGAGCGGATGGTGGGTGAATGACCCGCAACTCACTTTTACAAGATGACAGAGAGTTGTTTTTTTATACTATCGAAAAATCATCATATTTCAGAATTGTCTCACGCGCGCATTAGCCATCGACTTCTTAGATTGGAGAACAAATATATTTTTGCTAATATGTTATCTAATGTCCATTAGATATTAAGATCCAAATTATAAATAATTAATCATAGCAAAGGCAATGGAGAAAAGTGTACTAATCCTCCTAATATCACAAGCTCGTCTAATGATAAGTTGAATAATTGCCTTTGAGGGTTAACTCAGAACTCAACCATCCCATCAACCATCCATCCCAATCCAAATATATATATATATATATATAACAGATCACAATTATACCAATTCATTCGTAAACTATTATGACCAAAATCAATCTACACCGGTAATTGGTAATGGAGAAAAGTGGCACATCGAGTTTACACTTCACCGAAATGGCTTGCCATTTGCAGAGGAGAATACATCTGTCGCGGGGTTCCTCTTCCCACTCTGACCATCTCAGATAATTCATAATTGTCATAAACGGTTAGACAACTTATCACTTAATACAAAACAGTCACTAAAGTTTAATTTTGCACGTTTCAATAAAATGAACTCTTTGTATTATTTTTCTCTATAGGCAAAGCCAATGGAGCTTTTTATTGCTATAATCCTCCTAATATCACAAGCTCGTCTAATGATAAGTTGAATAATTGCCTTTGAGGGTTAACTCAGAACTCAACCATCCCCATCAACCATCCATCCCAATCCAAATATATATATATATATATGGTGCCTTCTACGGTACCCCGGGTGAAATCCGGGGTACCGGATACCTTGAGTATGAAAACGCTATCTAAACCTCGAATTAACAGGATTTTTGAGCATGATACTATACCCTAACCCTTAATGAGTGAACCCTAGGTCCTAATTATGTAAATCGTAAACTATAAACCCTAAGATGGTGCATTGATTTTTTGCCTATATTTGGACGAATCATAGTCGTCGATTATTTTTTAAAAATTAAATTGATCTTGGTGTATAAGATTTAGAGAATTAAGACTTAGATTTTGATCTTTAAGGGTTAGAGTATAGTATCATGTCCGAAAGATCAGTCAATTCAAGTTATGAATAACGTTTTCTTACTCAAGGTATGCGGTACCCCGGATTTCACCCGGGGTACCATAGAACTACCCATATATATATATATATATATATATATATATATATATATATATATATATATATGGTGGCTTCTATCGTACCTTGGGTAAAATCTAGGGTACGACATACCATGAGTAAAAAAATGCTATCTAGACCTCGAATTAACCGAATTTTTGGACATGATACTATACTCTAACCCTTGATGATTGAAACCTAAGTCTTAGATTTCTAAATCAAAGAGCCTAATCCCTAAGATTGTGCCTGTAATTTGTTGCATATATTTCGACAAATCATAGCCGTTGATTTTTGTTTCTAATTAAGTTGATCTTAGTGTATGAGATTTATAAAACTAAGACTTAGATTTTAATCCTTAAGGGTTTGGGAATAATATCAGACGCCAAACTATGCTCAATTCGAGGTCTAGATATCATTTTTTTACTCAAGGTATGTTGTACCCTTGATTTTACCCAAGGTACGATAGAATCACCCATACATATATATATATATATATATATATATATTCTATGGTACCCCGGGTGAAATCCGAGGTACCGCATGCCTTGAGTATGAAAACGCTATCTAGACCTCAAATTAGCAGGATTTTTGGGCATGATACTATACTCTAACCTTTAATGAGTGATCCATAGGTCCTAATTATCTAAATCATAAACTATAAACCCTAAGATGGTGCATTGATTTTTTTGCCTATATTTGGACGAATCATAACCATCGATTATTGTTTCTAATTAAATTGATCTTGGGGTATAAGATTTAGAGAATTAAAACCTAGATTTTGATCTTTAAGGGTTAGAGTATAATATCATGTCCGAAAGATCAGTCAATTCAAGTTCTAGATAGCATTTCCTTACTCAAGGTATGTGGTATCCCGAAAATCAATTATACCAATTCATTCGTAAACTATTATGACCAAAATCAATCTACACCGGTAATTGGTAATGGAGAAAAGTGTCACATCGAGTTTACACTTCACCGAAATGGCTTGCCATTTGCAGAGGAGAATACATCTGCCGCGGGGTTCCTCTTCCCACTCTGACCATCTCAGGTAATTCATAATTGTCATAAACGGTTAGACAACTTATCACTTAGTACAAAACAGTCACTACAGTTTAATTTTGCACGTTTCAATAAAATGAACTCTTTGTCGAAGCTATGACTTAATTATGATGGTATATTATACATTGGCAATATATACATTACAATGCACTTGATATTTTGTATGAATTGATCTCATAAATTCGAGTTGTTGAGAAATGCTCAATTATGGATCTTATATAAGTTAGCTCATATGAGCTTGAAAGTTGCATGTAAACATCTTGTGCTTAACAAATAAGGGTTTTCGAATTTCAAACACAAGAGACAAGACCTCAAGATCACTGAAGGCTCTGATAGTAGTGGAGCCATAAATTTTATATAGTGGTGTCCTCTATCAAAATTCAAATTAATAATTAAATAATTCGTAAATAAGAAAATATCTTACTAGTATAAATTACAACAAAGTCCAGTACATATTTTCATATTTTGAAAATCTTGTAAAATGCAATCGATGAAAGAGTTCCGTAATTGAGTTTAATTGTTAGATTTTGAAACTAATTAAGGCAAATGAATAATTCTTTTTACTATTAGACTTGTGTTCTTTCTGTCCTTGTTCGAAACCGGTAGGACACAATGAAATACTACAACAAATGCATTGTTACCTCATGAAAAACATGCATGTTTATCAATGTCCTAGGTTCAAATCAGCTAGTTATATATATATATATATATATATATATATATATATATATATATATATATATATATATATATATATATATATATATATATATTTACGTACAAGCAAACTACGATCGGGATTGAATAATCGTCTTTTCCCAAATTTTAAAGTTCTCCCATGACACCCCCTCTGTTTCCAGTACCCCTGAGCTCGATCTGATACCTTGTTTAGAGCATCTCCAACGGTTTGACTCTCCCCACTTTCATTCCTACGTGGCCCAAGCTTGCAATTTCAATTGCCCATTGCACCCATGTGAGTGGCAATTGCAAAATTGGGAACTTTCATCTAGTGAAAGTGGCATTGCAAGCCACGGTGGATTTTGTGCTATAATTTTTTTTTTTTCTTGTTTTGATTTCAATGCCCACTTTTGGCTGCATATGCCATAGATTTAATTATTATTGGAGTTTTTTTCATAAATTAGTAATAAAAATTTTATGAATTAATTGTATATATTTCTTCTAAATTAAAAAAGAAGAATAGTATTATTTTATTTACTTGCAATGTGGATAAAAAGGTATTTAAAAATTGTTTTTTAATGCATTAAAAAAATTTAGGCCTCATATGCAATTGCAATTTAATTGCACCAATGTAGGTACAATGAAAGTAAAGTGAGTTGGCTTGCAAAAATGGTGTTGTGTCAAAAAAATCACAAATGCAATTGCACCAATGGAGATGCTCTTATAAACCAACTTATTCCTTAGATCGCGGAGTAAATATATACAGTCACTCCGACAAATAATATCCCCACATCACTGTCCACCTTTCCAATCGGCACATTGGCATCGAACGACAAAGAAATCCCCCCAAATATAGGCACATGTATAGTCAGTCAATCAAACCCGTTGCCACCGATGGAATGCAATATTAGATACCCTGAACTCCTCCTAATTATTGAACATACTCATATAGAAACGTACATATTCCAAACTCCATCCATCGTCACCCTTCCACATCTATCGTACGATCGAGTATAAATACATGCACATATCCATGTTTGTAGCCACATCAACCCCATCCCAGCCTTTCCCATTATCTCTATATCCTACAATAACTCACAAAGGAAGAGAACAAGTTGACTACATTAATGGCTCTGGTGGGTGCAATGAAATTATTAGCAATAATAATACCGGTGGTGGCCGTGCTGAATGCTGGACCGTCTTCCGGCCAGTACTGCGGGCTAAGAAGCGACGGCGGATGGACCCCGTGCGACGCCGGCACCTGCTGCGGTACTGACAACTACTGCAGCACGCTGGGTTGCTCCCCGGCCAACTGCCAGTACTATTGTAATTCCGCAGATCAAACCCAAAGTGTTGCTGGACTTGGAGGAGGAGCAGCTGCACCACCAGTAGTGCAAGTGCTCGCAGGCCGGAAGCACTACTTGGATCGTGAAATCGATGGCGGCGGCGTTGTTGTTGTTGGCCATCGCAAGCCCGACAACGTAAATGCTTCGTCGGAGGTTTTGTCATGTGCTCCTTCCCTCTCTCGCTTGTCGCCGGCTGCCCGTCGGAGGTATCCTTGGGCTGCTCTCGGTGGTGGTAATATTACTGCTACCCCTACTATTTGCGGCCGATGCCTCAAGGTAACGGCTGCTGGAGCTGGAGGAGTCGATGCTAATCATCAGGTGAAGGTGCGAATCGCTCACACGCCTGCGGTCGAGGGGCTCGAACTGGATCGCGATGCTTTCAGCAAACTCGATAAAAATGGTTCCGACAACGGTTATTACAATCGTGTTATGGTAAGTTATGAGTTTGAGAGTTGCTGATGAGAAAACAACGCGCGTGGCGATCGTGTAAGATAAGAAGAGTTTGACGTGACATTTTCTTTCGATTCGAGCATATGGGTTTTACGGTATAAGGGAATTACTACTATGAAAGAACAGGGGGGAGAATACTTAATATGTACCGATGTATACGGTTTTTAGTTTCTGAATTTCTAATAAATGCAGTACTATGGTACTGGTCAAGTGAGTAAGCAGAAGTTTTCAGTTTTTCAGAGATTGCAATAAGAGTCGCAAAAACTTTAAATCCGTCGCTAAAACCTTTTTAGTGACCGATCGATCCCCGCCGTCAGGATAGATAACAGTGGAGCTAATCACTTTCACGATTTGGGATACACAATTACATCCAAATTTTGCATATGAATTTTAATCTTAACATATGAACTTAAACCCTAGCCTGCTACGTCATAGCTAGCAAAAATCTACCTTCATGTATCGAAACAACAAACTAACTACGTAATTCATTTACAAACTCTACAATTAATAACTAAAATCAATTCATTGCAATACAATTAATATTTATCAACGCCGAGAGTAATTATAAGTCATTATTTTTAAATATCCGAGGTTATTGTGCTAACATCAGCATGGTGCTAACACTACTTCTATCCAATAGAAATATTTTATTTTGATGATTTTTTTTACTTTTAAGGGGTTGACCACAATTAATGTTGATTTTTAAAGGGATGATGCACTTGTCATTTTTAAAAATTATAGGTGAATACTTACTATGAAAGAACAGGGGGGAATACTTACTATGTACCGATGTATACGGTTTTAGTTTCTGGATTTCTAATAAATACAGTACTATATGGTACTGATCGAGTAAGCAGAAATTTTCAGTTTTCCAGAGACCGCAAGAAGAGTTGCAGAAGCTTTAAATCCGGTGCTAAAACCTTTTTAGTGACCGATCGATCTCCTCCGTCAGGATAGATAACAGTGGAGCTAATCACTTTCACGATTTGAGATACACAATTACATCCAAATTTTGCATATGAATTTTAATCTTAACACAACTTCTATTCAATAGAAATATTTTATTTTGATAATTTTTTTACTTTTAAGGGGTTGACCACAATTAATGTTGATTTTTAAAGGGATGATGCACTTGTCATTTTTAAAAATTACAGGTGAAAGACGCATGTGACACTGCTCATTTATTTCACGTATCGTAATAACCACAAGCATCATGAAACACACCACAAAACACATATCAGAAACACAATAAACCATATCACAAATAACATAAAGTAGACCAGAAAAATTATAAGGCAGACCACAAAAACTCACCACACCACATAATTGTAAAGCATACTACAAAACTCAAAATTGAACACTAGTTTCTTAAAGTATTTCAGAAACCTCATAGAGTAGACCACAAGTTTCATTAAATGCACCAGAAACCTTATAAAGCATAACACAAATTTTCCTAAGCATACTATAAACCTCATAAAGTTGACCACAAGTTCCCTGGAACATACCAGAAACCTCGTAAAGCTTACTACTAGTTTCCTTAAGCACGCCCGAAATATGTGCAATGCACCAGAAATCTCACAAAGCATACTAGAAAGATGAGAAACCACACCATAAATTTCACAAAGCAAACGACAAATACTATAAAATATTACAAGTAATAATAAATTATTAATGGTGGAATAAAAAATTTATAATGATAAAATAGTTTTTTTACAATTAACCTGCTAGATTTTTTTTACACATGGAGAAGTCAAGGTAAGGGTGGAGGACGAGAGGCTGAAAAACGGCAAGAAGAAGAAACGAGATGAGGATATGGTGGGTAATCACTAGGTACAGTCGTTACCATAATATTCTTAATAATTATGTTAATATGAATTTAAAACTAAGAGGTGTTAGCACTCTACTCGCTCCATTTTCACAATAAGTTTATTTCCAGACATGAGATAATCAGTGGCGGAGCCAGCTCAGAGAAGGGTGGGTCCCCGGACCCACCTTGGATTCCCAAAAATTTAAATGTACGTGTGTGTAAGCCAGGGATCGAACCATGGTTGTATTGCCTATTACGTATTGTCCCTCCACTAAGCCATGCAAGAGACTTTGTTATTTAAACAATTTTGGTTTTAGTTATCTATGAAAATTGAGTTACAGAATAAAGGATCCACAATAAATTATTTATTCTTGAGTTTCCAATCCCTAGTTGAAATCATAAATATATATCGCCTGTCGAATTTGCCTCTTCAACCAAACGGCAGTGGAAACTCTTACCCACCACCCGTTCGTCCATTTCTTTGTTGTCGAATTTGTCGTGCCAATCTAGGGTTATAGTCGTGTAAAAAAAACATCTAGTGTTTTCATTGGTATATTGACTTCTGAAATTGGTATTGTTGCTACATGTTGCCACTACAAGTGTTGAAAGAGCATTTTTGCAATGAACTTCGTGAAAAAACAATTCGGAATCAGATGAGTGATGAAATTAGGAATGATTTTTTGATTGGTTACATTGAGAGGAACATCATTGATAGTTAGGATGATGGATGTATTTTCATACTTTGCAGAATATGAAACACATCGTTCGTAAAATATTAATATAAGTTACAAATGATTTTTTTAGTGTTGGACCCACCCTAGTCAAATTCCTGGCTACGCCACTGGAGATAATCGATGATATCGTAAGTCCGTAACCACCCGCTTGACATATTTGCAATCAAACACCCTAAGAATTCATACACTGGAGTCTTTAATATTATTGCGGACTGTGTCCGGGTTACTCAAGTCAAGTCCTTAAACTGGACCGGACCAGCCGCAAGTCTCGAACCCGGTTCCCTCTTCTCTCGTCTCAGTCTTAGGGAATTAGGGTTAATGTCATTTAGTCATATATAAAGGCCTGTTAATTGTTGATAGCCGATTATCACATGTACTCAAAATCATCAATGAAAGCATCGAGAGCTCTGTCTCTCCGTGGAATAGTCTCGTTCTTATAGAACGGGGAAACCACGTAAATCGAGTGTCTCGTGTTCGTTTTATTTCCGCACGTTAACTTTATTATGGTATCAGAGCGAACCACGATCTCGGGTTAGTGTTTGTTATCGCCTCCTGTGGTCTAGGGTTTCGTCTACTCTTCTTTCATCATGTCTGACGGCGAGAAGGATGATCGCGGCAAGGGGGCTCTCGGCGGGGATAGTTCCTTCGCCACCCAAGTCATTGACGCGGCATCTCCTCTTCATCTTCATCCGTCCGACCATCCCAATCTCATGTTCGTGAGCGATGTGCTCACGGATCTCAATTATACTGAGTGCGCAGCAGAGATGTCCAACTCCCTGATCGCAAAAAACAAGCTGGGGTTTGTCACTGGCGGTACGCCGCGCCCCACTGAAGGCCTCCACCTCGAGGCTTGGATTCGTTGCAACGCGGCTGTGGTTGGCTGGCTTCGTACAGCTAGGGATGGCAAAAATATCCGTAACCGTGGATATCCACCCGAATCCGACCTAATCGGGTAGGGTAAAACCCGAACCCAAAGCATTTTTCGTGGGTACGGGTAAAACCCGAACCCGAATATTGCGGGTAATGGGTGGGCATGGTTATCTCACTATCCAACCCGAACCCGCCCGATTATACACATGCATATGTATTTTGTCTAGAAATATTTATTATTTTTCCTTAGAATATTTTATATTTAGCATATAAATATAATATTTTCATAAAATTATGTTGTTTTAATTCATTTTTGTCATTCTAGTGAATAATTAACGTACTTTTCCTCTTACGTAATGTGAATATACGTGTGAAAGTTAACATATTGGTTGGAATTATAAGGAGAAATTATTACCCATGGATAACCGTGGATACCCGAAACCCGAACGGGCATGGGCATGGTTTTGATTTTCTACCCGTTTCTCGTGTGGGTACGGGTATGGGTAAAACCTGAACTACATTGGGTAGGGTAACGGATATGCACTATCCGCCCCCGACCCGACCCATTGCCATCCCTACGTACAGCCATGAGTCGC